GTGACATTCAATGACATAAAATACAGGTAATACTCTGTTGCTCGAAATTGGCGATGATTACAGTACGAATGTAGGACAACTCAGGGTATAATTATGTCATACGTGTCCCAACCGACCTTTCGTTTGTTTTTTCCCAGATCGAAAATCAAACAAACCATAGGTAAACACCATGGCAGACATAAAAGTACAATAAAAAACAATGGCGCCGAGACAAAAATACTGATAAATAAGCAACATTCAACGGGAAAAAAAAACACATTGCCACTTCTGGCGATCGAAGGGGAACACAGAATTAGTCGGGATATCTCGACAACAAACAGCATACCAAACCCCATGTTTCGCAAAATGTCGCAACATTATTTTTTCGAGGGTTGAAAAAAACAAGAAGTAATCAAAACACAACATTGAAAATGATGAAAACTCACCGAAAAATACGCTAACTCCGACCTGTTGTACGACTTCCGGCAGACTGAAGGTCACCCTTGCAGACCGACTTGTTTGCGCATGCGTAGTGAGCGAAATATTTTACTGCGCAGATATGAAATTTTTTTTTCAAGTTTTTCGTTTCCGCCAAAGCGGTTGATATCGGCGTATCGGCGGCAACTAACATGGAGTTTGACTAATGTTGTGGAAACAAAAGAGAAAGCACCGTAAGATAAACTAAGACAAAGGTTTTTTTAATCCTCTTAGTTTCGTTGTTCTTCCTGGGGTTTATAGTTCCATGATTTATCTAATCACAGTCCCTCATCAGGGAAGGACTGTATTCTAATCTGTTGTGTAACCATTGTTTTAATGGTTTATTTTCATGTGTGTATATGTGATTACCCTCAGTAAACACTTGCCAAACTGGCACTCTCATCAAGGTAACAATGAATATATCAATACAGTAAGTAACTCGTCTCCATTTTATTTATGTCTTATTTCAGATCACATTAAATGCTTCACAATACCATCTGATAAGCCCCATTCTCTTCATTGCGTGATGTTTTATGTTTCTTGATTGTTGAGCTGTCAACATGAAACAAACATGTTGAGGTAGATCCTATCTTGCTGTTTGAATCATGTTTTTGTCACACACATCAACTCGTACCCAGTCGTTTACACATACATTTCGGCATGTGATGGTTTGCCAGTCATTTACATATACATTTCGGCATGTGATGGTTTGCCAGTCATTTACATATACATTTCAGCATGTGATGGTTTGCCAGTCGTTTACATATACATTTCAGCATGTGATGGTTTGACAGTCATTTACATATACATTTCAGCATGTGATGGTTTGCCAGTCGTTTACAAATACATTTCAGCATGTGATGGTTTGCCAGTCGTTTACAAATACATTTCGGCATGTGATGGTTTGCCAGTCGTTTACATATACATTTCAGCATGTGATGGTTTGCCAGTCGTTTACATATACATTTCAGCATGTGATGGTTTGCCAGTCGTTTACATATACATTTCGGCATGTGATGGTTTGCCAGTCGTTTACATATACATTTCAGCATGTGATGGTTTGCCAGTCATTTACATATAC